CTCATAATCTTAATGGTAATGTACGGTTTCTTAGAGTTACTTAAAAGGTCGATGTTTGGTTAATGTTTCCAATCTATTTTAAGCAGTAATTTAATGTAACGGTTTAAAGATAATATTGGTTTCCGTTTGTTATATTATTAAAGTATGAAAACAATGATTTTTTTACACTTTAGATAGCGTGGTACAAAATATGTTGTAGTTGTCGCCAGCGACTCCGTCTGATCGGACTTAAAAAAAAACTTAATTGGTAGCATATGTATTCTTCCAGAGTACGTTCTATATGTATGCCAAATTTCAACAGGATCCGTTCAGCTGTTCCGGAGATACCTTCAAACAAACTTCCATTAATCCATCCATCCATACAAACATTTGTATTTATAATATTAGTAACATTTTGTTGTTATTCAGATTGATACGAACTTGTACGGAAGTAAACTGAAGATTTTGAGAGAACTTGCTATTGTGTTAGTTTCACACGTGGGCAATAGTTAGGTTTTACTAGTACTGTCCTATCTCCTGTTCTGTGTTACTGTGCTGCTCTCGTGTGAAACTTGCGTCAGTGTTTTTATTTGTTCAACAACTTACTGTATTTTTTCAAGTGTTCGGTCATTCGGTGTTCCGTATTATATGTCGTAGTATTATGTTCCGTCGTAATAATTTGGGGGTTGGCGGGTGGTGTCGACTTACAAATAAAACAGACAATTACAGAACGCAGCCGGGGGGTCGACGTCGTTACGTCGTCGTGTCGGATCGCGTACACGTCACTCGTTAATTTGGGTGTAGTTAAATTTTTATTGGTGGAAGTTTGGTGACGTGTTCGAGACTTGATGTAATTACGTACGTCTTTTTTGTTTATTAGAGATAGTATGAAAATTACTTTTTTAAATATCGATATGAATTTGAATATAAATAATATTGCAGGCAAAGTTTTAAATTATTAGAAGCTTTGGTATCATAAATTCTACGTTTCACATAAAATCTGACATTTACTTCAATCATTTTTCCAAAGCGTTGGAAATCCTCGATCGGACCCGACTGTCAATTTGTGACATTGTGTTGAAAGTTAAAATGTCAATTTTTGAACCAACAGTACTTTTCACCAGACAATATTAACTGTGGTGAAATAAATATCTTTTCAATTAACTCAACAGGATTATTAAATAACTTCAGAAAATATTTTATTAAATAGAAATTATTAAGTATAATATTTACACAAAAATCAAAACAGTATAATGGTTTTCCATACTTTCCAAGATATTAAATTTCGTCACCCCACTTTAAAGGGTGTAAAAGTGGGTGGTGGGGTACTGAAAGAAAATATCAAATGTCTTATTATTTTTAGTTGAGTGGTGGCGCGCGGGTCTTCCTTTGAAATGTTTTAACTGACAGCCGATACAGTATATAACATACAATAGATTTTAATTAAGAATGTTACTGTTTGTTTGCCGTTTCAATATATTTTTAGTATCTTTACGATAACTTAATATAAAACAAGAATAAAGTTATCAACTGTTTAGGTTTACAATAACGTTTAATTTAGTTTTAAAGGTTGGTACTAAACTTGTATTCATACGTAATGCAAACCAAATACAATGAGGTAAAGAATTTATTTCGCATTGGTAACTTAAAAATCACAGATAATATAACCGGGACTAATATATCTCTAGCATTTAAAAAAGTGTTTAATTGCAGTTCAGTATTTAATAATGAAAAACATAGATGGCGCTATCAGTCTGTTAAATCGCACTTCTGTTTTGTTTGCGTGGAGACATATTATTGATGTATCGAGTTTAATTTTTTTTGTTTTTCGAGCTTCTTCTGTTTTAATGCTACAAAAGAGTTTTGTATTATCTGGAGATTTTACGTTTCGTAGTTTATTGTTATAGTTGTGTATTCATAATAAATAGTTTTTTTTTTTTAAATCGAACTGTTATATTTTATTGAATACCGGTATAATCTTACGATTTTCTATACATGAAAAATGTACTTTACCAACCCTATGAACATTTCGTGAGGCAATGCACAGATATCCATCCCCGGTGCTACACTACCCCATACCGCGACTTTTACTGCCACCCGCTTATTATTTATAAGTTTTACGAGCGTGGGGGACCCGTAAATAGCTAAGCGTGGATTAGGTCGGGATCTGCTAGTGCAAGTTCATGGTTAAATATAACTTCTATCTGTTTGTATATATTATATAATATATTGTTATATTATCGTTAAAAGTTATGGGATCTATACTCCTTCTAAACGTAAGTTGAATATTCATTAATAAAACTATACAAATGTCATTACATGATTAGCTTCTTTAAACATTTTTATTTTTACTGGTAAATGGTAAAGATTTACATTCCATTCGTAAAAGGAAAGGATGGGATAAGGAAGTGGGACGAATAGGCAGGGGAAATATCCTCTGTCTGCGCGTCCCGTGCATTAAAAATATGCAACGCATCTGCATATGCGGATGTCGACTGGCAACAGCCACTTTCCTATTTTGGAGAATCTGATGTGACATACTAAAAAAATGTTGTCAAAACAATGTTATAAATGCATATTTTCAACGCTTTTTCTATAATTATAAATGACATTATATAAATTTAATGTCAATGGGAGATGTAGCAACCATGTACCCGCCATAAAATCAGAATAGCGGCCCCTCTTGATCTAATTTGTATGTCGTTTAATTTAACAAATACTCGATATCGGAGCCAAGAATCGATTGTTGTCGGGGCTTTATGAATATTGATGGTGCGACGTGAAATGTTTGCAGACGTCAAATAGGATATGGGATCGATAGTTCTAGAATACATCGACAGGTCGTTGTCCAGCGAAGTAAGAGTTTCTAAGTTAATACATTTTTTGTTTTTTTTTTTATGATGAATTGAGGATAAAGTTTTTTGTTTTGTGTTAGTCTTTAGTCAAAAGAGTCTTGTACATTTTTTTACACCGATTTACTGTTTGAATACATGAAGTTCAGAAGTAAAGTCCTCTGTTGATTATTGTCTTGTTCTAGCAATAAAACGGCTGATGTACTAAATAACTCCCAGAAGTATACTGCATAACATTTAATTCTTTAAATCGGAAGTTGGTAGTGCGAATATCGGCAGTTATTTTAAAATAATGATCCATGGTTATAGCAGCCTGGCTCGATAATTAACGAAGTCGCCTTCGATTCCATGCGATCGGCCGGCATCACGCCGATAAGCGCCCTCCCGATTGGCCGCTGGGCCGTAACTTTTCGCTAACTTCAAGATTTACGGCACGCCAAGCGATATACCTTCGACCCAATTTGCTCAAGTCCTAGATAACTTTTAATTGATTTTTTTAACTAGCATTCTGCCAATTTTCACAATAAAATCACTTATAATCCTAGTACAATGTGTTGTCACTAATAAAACTATTCAGAAAATTTAAAAAAATCACTTGTAGATACAAAACACATAAAAGAGTTGCTTTTCTCAACATCATTATCTCGAAATAACAAAACCGTTTAACTACACGATATCCGGTGTCAATCATGTGGCATGGGAATTTCTACATCTGTCGGGGCATCCCCATCGACCTCTATAAAGCTGAGGATAAATTCTATTCGTCAAAATATTTCCGAGGGCGCAATAAAGAGATTATTTCGGTAGAAAAAACACAGCGCCTGTTCTCGCGGTGAACACTCCAGCACACTACAGGCAGAGAACGCTTCCCGATTCGTCCAATAAACATTTTTTTTATCTACGCTTGCGATGTATTTGTTTGTGCCAGTGTTCACTCAATTTTTTTTTAAGTTCTCTACTGCAAATAATACAGTTTTTCGCAAAAGCCAGTGTCCGTCGATTTCAAATGAAATTCTGTTTGTACTGTTTGCAGTATCGATTTCGAAGGATTTTTTCAATAATGGAATATTGTATTTTATCTCACTAGTATTCTGTATGAAAAAATGGTAAAATTATCTTTTCATTTGTGTTAAAACTGACAATTATTTGTTATAGACATGAAAAGTACCAACGATTTTAATCCTAAGCCAATAAAATTAAATTTAGATCAAGCTGTGAGTCTTAAATCATCTATTCCGTTTAATTCTGAATAACATTTCTCTGAGCAGAAATTAAACCATAGTTGTATGTTTTATCTTTCATGAAAAATTAGTAATTACAATTCCAGTCAAGTACTATTCATCGGGCGGTAGGTTTAGGTTCAGTTCCCTGTAGCATTGTATGAAGGATGAATATACGAAATTAATATGGAGCTAAAGATCAGTATAAAGACTTGCGTTGCGCAGTGTTAAGTAAAATTTTATTCATACATATTGTTCTTTGGTATGTTGATTTTGTAATCGATTATCGTAAATGTATCGATTTTATTTTCTTTTATTTTATTTCTTAAAAGTTTTAATCGAGGAAAAAATATTAAAAGGCTCTCGGGACAGCTTCTTAACAGTGTAATTTTTAAAGTCAATTGTAAATAGTGATTTTATGGTTGGTATTAAATTAAATCGACCCGTAACATTCGATTATCGACACCGTATCGATACGACATCAATACTTGTCGATAATCGAATGTTATTCGATATCGCACCGGCTTCAGTGTTTTACGCCGATGTGGTGTCGAGTTACCAATACTGATTACATGAAGTAATTACTCCAACGAAGTTTTAACGAGCCTTGTATAGCCCTTGCCTTGTAACTAGTGATTTTCAAGAGATTTATGCTGTTATAACTATTCATGTGATCCTTGTCCTGTTTATGTAAAAAGTTCTAAGCTAATATACAAGGAAATTTGGTGACCTTCTTTCTATCTTGCCAGGTAAATAAGTCATACTCGAGAATTAGGTTTGAAAGTTTTTTTTTATAACACGACTTTTCTTCTTCTTCCAGTGCCTCTTCAGTCTTGAAGACTGGCTGCTAACTTGTAATATTTGTACGACTTTTAGTTTATGTAATTTGTTTTTATTTCTAAGAGTCAGCCTAGAGTAGCCTGCATGATACGTGTGTGAGGTACTTTACCTGGCGATCTCTCGTTGCGCGGCGTGCAGCTTGCCGGCGAGCCGCGCCGCATCCTCTTCGGCGCCGCGCGCCCGCGCCTCCCAGTCGCCGCGCGCGCGCCTCTCGCGCTCCGCATCGCTGCGCGCCGCTCCCTCACGCTGCAAAAAAAACATACGCTTAATAAAATAGTAATCGATTTAAAATCAAATTAAATGACAATGGCGTAATATGATCGTTACATTGTTATCTACCGACTTGTTACAGGAGATACAAGTTAATTTTGGTAGTGAATTATGAAAATTAGTTCTTAAGTTTTTACAGATTTGGTACAAATTAGAACCTTTAAACGATCGCTATCAAATAAACTAAAGGCAGGGCGTATTTCTGTAAAGTGTTGCTTTGTACCGTTGCATCGTATAAAAATCCAATTTGGTGGAGGACACTTGTGACGTCACTTGTATCATACGGAACTCAGCTGCAGGGGACGTGTGGAGAGCCTCTCGAACATCTCGTATGTAACGTCTTTATAAAAGGTTATATTGTATTCGCTTTATGATCCTCTTGTAATTTTTAACTAAGATTATATAAAAAAAACGTCATGCTTCACAAGGTCGGATGATTCCTACTGGTTTAATATTGTTTATGCCGGTTTAATTTAAGGAAAACTTACTAAGTATTGAAGAAATAAAAGACTGTTTTTTAAGTGATGTATTTATTCATAAAAAGTTACACTTTCATTTAAACCATGCCCAAATGCTTACGCTTGAATTGTGTATGAATTTTTATTTTATTTTTTTATTTTGAATTATTAAACAAAAAGAACATGACAACGAAGCTACATAGACTAAATACCATCTACTAAACGGGCACTAAAAAAAGTTTCCTTTTGATAAGTGAAAACATATTTCTAGTCGTAGTAGACGCTGACCACATAGAAATTAATAATTAAGCAGCAAATTTCCGTCCAATCCTTGGGCCTGAGTTAATTTGAAAATAAACAATTAATACGAAAGCTGTAACGGCGATGGCTACCTGCAGTTTTTGCAAGGTTAGCGAACATTTAATCTTACACGCTGGTATAATTAACTAGATATTGGCGGTTACACATTTTAGTAATATTCCTTTTATGGACTTTGTAGGTTATACGTAAATCATGATTGCGCAAATAAACTTATATTTCTGACCCAACGTGTATTGATAGATAATTATTTTTTTCTTTCTTGAAACTAGACAAAATGTGTTTTATTTATTTACATCGTGAATTTTACTTTTTGTGTAAGATTTTTTTATATAATAAGAAAATTTTAAATAAGACAATTAAAACAGTTTCTTAATATACATTTTTATCAATTAAAACTTTCATCAGTATTTTTAATGAAGTTACAAAAACGCTATCATTTTTTAACTTGGACCATACGCTTAAGTTCCGGTATCTGGTCTGAAGTTTGATGAAGTTTTAATTGAAAATTAGTCTTGGCCGTATCTTGCCGCCTCCAGTCCATGCGGAAGGCAGACTGGTGGCCGGTGCGGAGCTCAACCAACTTGGACTCGAAATTTGGACTTATTTAAAACTTAGCAGTATTAAATGCTACAGATCTCATGGTTTAATTTAAAATTATAAAAGATTTAATTATTTTTTTCCGTAAAAGACAACTAATTTATTTTTAACAGTGGCAGAGCCCGCTTTAACACCTTCGCACGAATTGGCCCAGCTCGCCCGGTGAAATACCACGACCACACAGAAGACAGGCGTGAAGTGGAAGTAATTCCGCGTTTGGTGAGTGTGTGTCCCGGAGGCCTAATCTAGTCCTATTTCCCTTCCCACCCTTTTCTTATAAGTAAAGTATGGGAAGTGGAAGTGGACTTTTCGAATGAGCGGATGCATGGAAAGGGAAAATATTTTCTTTCTGTGCATCCGCTCCTCCGTCGATTAAAGGTAGGCAACGCATATGCATATGCAATGCAAACGTCTATGTCACTTCGCTATTTCGGCGATTTCAGGTGGCCGCTCGCATGTTTGCCACCTTGTGATATAAAAAAAATGTCTGTTGATTTTAAGACAATGTTTCACAGTTGTTTATTATTTCAAAGCGTAATCGTTCTCTGAGACAGTTACTATTTATAATTATAAACATAGACTCGGAGCGAATTATCATAAGCGTTTTAAGTTAATTGCCCTATAAATATGTTTCATTAAGTTTAAATGACAGTAATATTTAGTTAGAGCAATATAAAAGGAACGAATGTCTCTTCAGAGCGGCTAATTTAAGACAGGAAACAAACAAGCGACAATCAGATATTATCTTAGAGTATGGTTAGGGCAGGTGTACACAAAGTTTTCATTTTTAAATCCAAGTTCAATTTAAGTTTATACCTGAATTTATCAGCAAAAAGCTCAAAAAACTTGAAATTAATATATTGGGGCCTTGAAATGAATTACTAAATACTTTTATATTATATTAGAAGAAGGTTTTGAACTATACTTTGACGCAAAATAAACCTAAATTACAGTACAGACAACGTTTATTTTTGAATATGTTAAAATTATTAATAGATAGATTTAAATCATGAATATTATATGTAGCTATATATTAAGCTTAGTAACAGAAAAATAGCTACTATTATTTCAGTGTGTCCACAGCCTTATGCATTCTAAAATAGTCCCAGGACGCGGCACGCGGTCGCCTCCTCGAGATGAACTATTTTGAGTTTTACTGGGAAATTAGTATCTTAAATAGTCACTCGTGTGCTACACGCACTAAACAAACACTTATCGTACAAATGTCAAGATTCATCGCGCCTTTTATTGTTAAGAGGGTGGGAAGAGCTTGTTTCACTTCACGCATACACATCAATATGCTGACTTATTTGAAATACGAGTACTTTATTTAATTTTTTTTTGTTGGAAAAATTTTCAGGCATTCGTTACAAAATAAAAACTGATACTGCATACATACAATGCATATAGCATTATAGATTTACTAGATATGCTATTCTGCTTTAAAATTTTAATATTATTTTTATTTTTAAAATTTTTAATAAAAGTAAGATGGCAACACAAGTATCTCGAACATAGCCATTTAAATGCAAAAGTAGCTTTCTTCCAGCAAATTTTACACGCATTCGCAGATTAACTTCCGTTTATTCCGATAAGCTTTCTCCTCGCGACTGTCACATTACGCCCAATTCTTCACACCTGTCAACTTGTCAACTGTCAAGTTGACATAAGTGACAGGGGAGTGTGGCGCGCCCTTGAGTCCACCAGGGTAAATATTTGATCTCACTCTGTAATGCGCAGTACTAAAGAAACAAGAGTGGACAAAGTGCATGTAATTTTTTGTTATTTGATTCCAGAAATTTACTAACAAGTAATTCCTCTAAGAATATTTAATATGCGAAAGAAACCTCTAACTTAGAGACAAAATTTCTGGCTAATTTAACTTTAATTACTTTATTACTAAGTAACATTATTACGAACATTACACATAAGAGAAGGTCCACTACAGGTGAACCGAACCATCTATTTTCTTGTACTTTTTTAAAATAGAAAAATAACGTTGTAATAAAATTCTGAACAATTTATTTACTAGTCAAAGCAGGATCGCTTTATCTTCCTCAGTAAAAAGGAAAAAAAAGGTCTGTACAGTATCGGATGTATTGAGAGAAGTCTCTTTTGCGAAATGTAACAACTACTCAGGAGCTCATTTCTGCACTGGCGATCAATCAGAGAGACCAGTCTCATTGGGAAATGTACGTATATTCTCAAGTACTTAGAAATAAACATTTTTAAAACGTAGAAACTCTTTACACGATACCTCTTTGTGGGTTTATTCCTTTTTTATACGGCCTGTATTTTTTCATTTGTCTTTATGTAATGACATTTAGCGAATTGTTTTTCTATTTTTTGTATACATAATCTCGCTTAAAATTTACTACAATAATATAACATATTTTTGCTTTCAACTTTTTTTTTAAACTCTAGACTACACGATCTATGGTAACAAAATTAAGCATATTTAATTTCCATCATAAGTCCCTACGTAAACAAATATATATTAAGACGTTAAAAATATCTGTGAGTTGTCAGCGAGTAGGGACCGGCTCAGAGCGGACACGACGTTGACTGATCGTCTCATTTCCTCGTGAAAAAAGAGATGAATCTCTATTTTAATAAACAAACCGATACATCAGCTTTAAAATAACGGTTTGATTTCTTAATGCTTAATTTACAACTTTTATTACACGTTTTTATTGGAGAGTTTTGTGGTGAGAACATTGCTTGTAAAATCTCACTACGAAAGTTTCTTGTCATAAATTAATTTATCTAGATCCCTTTGTTCAACATAACTAGCTTTCGCCCGCGACCCCTACTACCCGGTATTAAAAAAAAACTTAGTAGCTTATGTGTTCTTCCATGCTATTTTCTACTTCTGTGCCAAATTTCATCGAGATCCGTTGAACCATTCTGGTGATACCTTCTAACATTATTCCATAAGTTCCATCCATTCATCCATCCATCCAAATATTCGCATTTATAATATTAGTAAGAAATAAGATAAGATAGGAGTAGAAGACGATTTTTTTTTAATTTGTTTAAGTTTTTTCTTGCCTTTTTGATGATTTTTTTTAATGTCAACCACAAATTTTCTCAGGGTACCCTACACCCTCCTAATTCTTTGACAAACATTCCTTATTGACAACATCCCTGTACTTAGGTACTATCCGAGTTTGCTTAGGCGTTAGGTATTAAAATGAGGGTGCAAAGGGCGCTTTGTACAGGGGGCGGATACACAAATAGTTTATATACAAATATTTGGCAAATATCGCAAATCAACCCCGTTTGTATCCTACTCCCTGTTTGTGAGAGAGCATTCTCAAATTTAAAGTCATTGAATAAATCCAAACACGATATCTTAACGAAGTAAAATATCTTTAGATTTTCGATCAAAAAGTTAAAAAAAACCTCTGGGAAATTGGTCGAATTGACAATCAATTTACTTTTAAAAAAATAATTAGTAATTTCGTATTAGGATATAAGGAACACACAAGACTTTAGCTTTGTCAATATATCATTCCCTCTGATGACGTCATTGCCAAAACAATGACTTGCGATTGGTCGAAACGATGACACGTGACAGGCACGCGCCTGCTTTTTTGC